TTGAAATAGAAATACAAATTTCAGTGGCGATCAAAATTTCATGGAGGAGTACCTAATGTTCAAAATGGTGATATTGATCTATAGAAATCCTAAAATAAAATTTAAATACTAAAATTATCGATGATATTATTGTCATTCTGAATACAGTCAGAGTCGTAATAAAATATGGCACAGAACTAAGTCATAAACATGCAAATTGAAAAAAATGACAAAGCCTGTATATCAAGATATAGTCTCAATCATACGTATACTTTTATTGTTACGTAATAACTAACTATACGTCAACGAGACGGCAATCTATCTTTCACTCACAGATGTTTCTAAAACTGAACCACATACATCTCGACATACATAGATCAACTTGAGGGTACTTAATGAGTGTTGGGTGGACATAGATTACGTGGTAGGACAATGGCCGATATTGAAAAGCAGGGGTAATCCAACAAATCGGATGCTGATATGCCGTCTCTAAGATGATTAGTAGTTAAGGGTTAATGCGTGGAATCGCGAGTCATAGAAAATGATGATGATGATGTGAAATTTGAAGGTTTCAACTGGTAGGCTGTTCTCATATCGACAATTCGACCTACCCATAGCAACAGTCGCTATAAACTGACAATAGTGGCAGTCAACAAATAAGCATTTAAAGTGTAGTGTTCGGTACAGTTCAGTGTTGTAGGCCGTATAGCCTGCCTGCGAATAAGTTGAGAAGAAGAGAGACGTGACAAAAGACATGGACAAGACAGTTGACAGTTGGCGTTGGCGGGATAAGTAGAGTTAGGGAGAGCTCGCGCCATTCTCTTTTTATTATTTATTATGTAAGTATGTTCTTTTATGTGATTTTTGATAAAACTTAGCTATCAATTATTTTATGAATCTACCAAAATGTTGCCCTACACAAGCGTAATTTTCGTGTACGTAATTCCAATTAAAAATGGACAACTCAGGAAACTTTCAAGATCTCCCCCCGGAAATAATTGATGCAGACACTAGCCTATCAAATTCGAATAAGAAACGACGTTCTTCAAGATGCTGCGGCATCTGCTATAGCATGCAACAAACACAAATTGCACTTTCAATTTCAATATTTACTATCGTTAATGTTCTAGTTATTGTTATTTAAATGTTCATCAGATAAGTTTCCTATTATATCGATGAAAAAAAAAACTATTTCATTATTTTTCAGTGCATGAACATATCGTGCGGGAAAGTTGCTTTACCGCACTGGTGCTGAAAAGTTACTTTTCCGCACGATTTTTGTAACTATTCTGTCATATGAGCCATTTTGTTGCATCATTATAGAATATTATTTATCAAAAACCTTTTTTTTTTCTTGAGGAAAATGTCGTTTCCGCCCTTGACGACTTGCCCGAATTTCGCTCCGCGTCGTTCGTACAACTGCCGTGCGGAAAAGAACTACTTTCCGCACTTGTTAGGTGAATAACCATTAAACACTCATGAACTACAGATGAAGATGTGAAGATGACATAAATAATCTGGTGAGCAAAATGTTGTCAATGTTACTGATATTGATGCTCGCATACGTAGAATCGCGAGAGTCATAGTGATACAGTGATGAAAACCTTCCCCTTTTTGTGCTTCCAAGCTTCCGTAGTTCCAAGCTAATGATTACGACTCTGACATGAGTGACATGACTGTAAGACTGTAAGTGCATTGTTGTAGATGTAGTGGGGAACGATGATTCCGCAAACCAGAAGACTATGTGACTAAGTGGTGTATTTCGAGATTTTTTCCTCTCGGAAAAATTACCCAATCCCGATCCGGCATACAGCAACCCTTGTACAATTCAACACTCAACACTATTTGTCTTGTTCGCGTCTCACATGAGATCGAGTCTCACATGAGTAGTTCGTATAAAAAGCGACTAATAAAAGAGGGCTGACAGGCATTCTCCAATAACAAGGTCATTATGATGCCGGGGTGGATTTGAATGGGTGCCGGAGCTCCTGGATCGTGCTGATAAGTTAATCTAATAGTTGAGAACGAAACAAAGATATTGATATATCGAAGACTGGAACCTTTGACACGATAATACACTACAACGTTCTACCACTAATCAAACATATTTCTTATTCGCCTCGAGACGTGATTCGCTATGTCAGCATCTTCAGGAGAAGATTAAAACTAAATATTCTACTCTATTGTGCTACCGTAAAACGGGGCTTGATTGATTGATTGATTGATTGATTGATTGATTAATAGCAGAATGATCAGTCAGGGTTCGAAGCCCAAAACACTGCAGCCTTTGGGCCTATTGTATTCCTGATCATGCTGTTGACTTAGGTGAACAGGTTCGCTACCTTGATGAGGTTTAGCAGCCTCTTCACCAAATCATTCTTTGAAAATGCCTCATGAGAGTTTACTGCTCCCAGAAGGTTGTATCTCCAACTCGCTAGTGCTTCGCACTCCAATATTACATGGGTGGCAGTTTCCTCCTCCTCATTGCATAGTCTGCATATTGGTTCGTCTGTATAGATGCCCATTTGATGCATATGTTTCCTCAAGGGGCAGTGACCGGTTATTAGTCCCGTCACTTGTTTGATCTGACTTCTGTTTAGGCTCAGAATGTCGTTAGTCACTGTTTTGGACAGTGTTCCAACCATCAGTTTACTGTGTCTTTGTCCTGGGACATTGTTCCAGTATGCCTGATGTCTTTCTTGCATCCACCTTGCCAGCCAGCCGCGTATTGAGGTTTTGGGGATACCGAACACAGGTTCCGGCCCCATAAACAACGTCGCAGACCCTTGCCCTTATGCCCTGGCACCTCATTGAAGAGTTACCTTGTTGTGGTTAGACAGGGTTAGCAGGCTACTTTGCATCTCCAGGTAAATTCGCCAGTTCGTGAAAAATCTAAAAACAATTTTCATTTCTCAGCAGTTAAATGCTAAATATGTGTGACTTCGTCTAACGGTTCTTCAGAATCCTTTGTCAGTCGGGTATCAGTAGATTTCAGATAGCTCAATAGGCTAGAGCTCTAGGTGCCGAAATTCACCGGCCTATTTGGCGGGAGTTTTTGTATACGTGCGGCAGTTGGTTCCGTGAGTGTTTTCTGGAATGTTTCATCTCAATATATTCATAGTAGTGACCTCAACATGCCTATTATCGATAATCCTACAGCTTTTCTGAACATTATATCGAAAAATTAACGAATTTTTGGGGGTTGGCAAAGTTCCAACTTCGGGGCTACTTTGCCATACATGTATGTCATGATTTGCAGGTCCGTAACGTGTCTAGGAAGTACAAAAAGTACTATTTGCATTTAACTACTAGAACAGACTGTTGATGCAATAAACAAAGGCATTTCGATGTAATAGAGCGTCAAAAATATTCAATATACCAAGGATACAACGCAAAACCTCTGATAAAAGGTTCAACGCCATTTTGGTAAATAGAGGGCAGCTTGTGGACTTGATCTTTGCCTGTGCTGAATATGTGTGCTACTTTTTTATAATACGAGAACTTGTAATTCATAGATTATTAAATTCTTTATGAGCTTCGTTGAAGATGGAGACTGGATATGGGGTTCATCACATGTTAGATACACTAAAACGCATTTTAATAAAAAATCTGTGTTTCTTTGTTTCTGGTTGTCGAGACCCTGTCATACAGGGTGATTCACATAACAACCGACATAGGGCAGGGGCATGTAGGGGGTCCCAAAATATGGCAATTTAACGCAACTTACCTCTATACCAAGTTACTTCCCTAAGGAGTTAAAGGCATAGCACTAACAGCATGTCAACTTGCTCGTTGAAAGAAAACTTCCCGTTCATTTTAAAAACACTCAAACAACAATTACTCAATTGAACAACTCAGTTTGACGTTTGACGTTTATTTTCATAGCCAACTTTTGAATTTTCGATGATTTTAAATAACACATCTAGAGCACGCGTTTTCAGTTATTCGAGTTTTTGATGAAAATGATGAGGTTTTTCGAAAAATTACTAGAGTAAGAAAAGTTTTAGAATTGAATTGCCCACAAAACAAAGTGAATATTTTTGAAATCCATCGAGGGTTAACAAAATTATGTTGAATATTAATGGTGCGCCACCTGGTATACTCCCTTTACAAATTTCAATTGAACTATAGTTACTGTCAAGTAACGCCCTAAATACACCCACAAAGTGTTCCAAATTTGGTTGCTTTAAGCTCAAGAATAACGAAGATATTGATTTTTTTCAAAATTTATAACTTCACTTTCAAAGCCTATATCTCCTTAGGGAAGCAACTTGGTATAAAGGTGAGTTGCGTTGAATTGCCATATTTTGAGACCCCCTACATGCCCCTGCTCTATGTCGGTTCTTATGTGAATCACCCTGTATACTGATATGACCATTAGTCCAATAGCCAATTAACTAATCTGAGGTTATATTAATTTGTGTATTATGATTGTGATTGAACATGTGTTCGGCTTCACACGATTTATCTAACCTACCATATTTCGAATGTGCTAGAGGTGTTTTTTAAAACTTGTTTTATTGACGGCAGCAACTTCACTCATTCCCTCTGAGCAGAGAGAGATTCGATGTTGAAAGAAGTGTTGTCTATAAAGTCACTGGCGTCAATGGTTATGATATCAAAATAGTAGATACATTAATACATAGTCATAAATTCTAGTGAACACTTCGGCAACTGGTTTGTTATGGCAATAACTTAGCAATGAATTAGCTACAAATCATGGCATAGTTCAAAATTTAAAATTCAAAAATTGTTCCGCTATGAGCAGTGGCGGATTCAGGGGAGGGCTGTAGGGGCTGCAGCCCAGGGCGGCAGATTTTTAAGGGCGGCAAATTTTAGGAGCATGTTTTTTTTAGTTTGAAACTTAAAAAAATATTGAGTTAAAATCAATAAATGAACTTCATAAATAGGAGAGTCGAGGGTAAAAACTCCAAAGTAGAGAAGGAGAAGTAACGTTGATTGGTAGGGACAAGTTTAGAGTGAATACATACAACGTCATTTTGGACACATTGATTTCTGAAATGGAAAAAAACAAAACTGTTCATGATGAGCTCCACTCGTTGTTTGGATTTCTTATCAATAATAATGATGGGGAAGAAGCTTCCAATATAAAAACACTTGGAGAATGCAGCAAGATACTGTGCACTTTGTATCACAAAGATCTTCCTACGGCGAAAGATTTTGCTAGAGAATGTTTACATTTGTTTGGCTTTTTGAAAGAACTGAAAGAAAAAGAACGCCCTCTGACAATTATTGGACTCTACGAAGCTCTACACGATAATGCACTTCAAGACTTATATCCTTATGTCGATTTGCATTAAAATTGTTTTTAACAATCCCGGCATCGAACTGTTCAGCGGAAAGATCATTTTCCGTCCTGAAGAGGATCAAAAGCTACGAAAGATCAACGATGACTGAGGCACGTTTGAGGAATGTGGCAATACTGAACATTGAATCTGACATAACAAAGAGATTGGACTTTGATGATGTTATTGACTCCTTTTCAAATTCAAGTTCACGAAGAAAGTGTTTTTAATTAAAGAAGTGGGTTTGCTTGTATTCTGATTCTGTACAACTATACATACAGTACAATTATACATACAATAACAGTATTATTAAAAGATATATATTGAAAAAAAAATGTATTTATATATTGAAAAAAAAAGTTACAAGTTACAAACTGATAATTTAATCAAACCATAAATTAACTTGGGGGCGGAGATTTGTCGCTATAGCCCTTAGGCGGCAAAAGTTTAAATCCACCACTGGCTATGAGGGCGCAATAGTTTGCTGATGGTAAAATTTCAGGCAGTGACATTTTGAAACAAATCATCTGATGTGTCCTTATTACAGGTACATGATAATAGTTGATCAATCAACAGTTGTTTAATATCGAATCATATCGATCTTGACTAATAATCTCGAATAATGCAAATATCCTCACAATTGAAATGATTACAACCCTAAAAGTTAATTCAACATGACAGATATTATCGTCATTGTACATCTGGCGCGAATCTACTAAAGACCCATATTCGTTTTCAATTAGCAAGAGGACCGAGCTTTCCATTGAAGTTCCGGTCCTGCGAATTCCTGCGAGGCATATCGTTTCACGGCCGACAGCAGCAGGATAACGTCCTGCTGATAAGATCAGGCCTGCCGGCCTGCCGCTGCATTGGGTGTATATCGAGCCCATTCATCGATGACTGACTGCTCTATGGAACAGTTATGACTACTTCGGGGCAGCCTCGAAACGCTAATTCGCTAGTTCTCAACCGCGAGCGAGAATTTGATAATATCCGAGATAATATCTGAACCAGACAACATTACTAGACCAGACTCGTCGAAAATAGTATATTATGTAACAAGTGTTATAAACGTCCTTTTATAAGCACGAGCGGAGCAGAGAGAATCGAGTGTTTAATAAACTAGAAGAGTTTATAAACGCGTTACATACTATGCTATTTCTACGAACTCCGAAAATTACATAAACATACATGCTATTCCCGCTAACCTACAAAATAATTCGAAAGGAATGGGAATTGAGAACATAATACATGCAACTGCATGCAACCAGCGAGACACGTATAAGTGATATTGGTTGTAGATGTGTCCAGTCCATTGCTTACTAACCTTGTTTCACGTTCATTATCATGCTTAGCGCATAATGAATAAATAGTTCTCAAAGATGGATGCTTCATTTTTACACTTCTTGGAGATATGCAAGTACCAGAACATTCTCTTCGATTTCAATTCGTCTTCATTTCGCATATATTTTAAATGAAGAATTCTGATACAAACGAATATTGTTTGAATAATTCTCATACAGAATTTGAAAATAACCATTGACAGTTAGTACAATTGACAGACCAGACATATATTGAATTATTGAAGCTGTGTATAATTAACTAAGTTGTCATGGTAATGTGTTTAAGAAATCGTATTGCCATGGCAACGGATCGTCAATACGTGATTAATCGATCATTTAGCGTGGTATATATCCGTACGTTAAATGCCATTTTAGTTATGTGAGTAGAAAAACAACATTTTTTGCGCCTTTCAGGGGCGCATAGCTGTTTGGCAAAGGAGCTGTTTAGGTGTTTCGTAAATGTTTCTGGTATCAATTCGTGCTAATTTGGCAGTTATCATTTTCAACAATAGCCAAATGATTAGAGGTTGCATAAAATTGAAATGTAATTTTGAAATTCAACTTTTTTCAATGTATCAATCGCTCAATATATATGTTGAACAATTGATGACAATTTTTTGCCACAACTGCTATCTCCTATTGTATTCCAGTGTGTTTATAGTCACAAATAGATTGTTTTTGCCGTAATCAGAGTTCGAAGCGAAGTGATATTGCCGAGGATATTGCAAACTGGTGGAAATGCTCTATATCACTGTCACTAAAATTTCGATAAAAATTCCACACCAGTGATTTTCATACAGTTAAATTGTGTTTTTATGACAAATTACCATAGCAACGTATGTATTTTAGTGGATTTTTTTTCTCGTGGGTACCCACCAGCGTATGAAACCGGAAATTTCTCATGATGTTTCAATGACAGAATAATATTTTGACGCTGCATTGGGTGTATATCGAGCCCATTCATCGATGACTGACTGCTCTATGGAACAGTTATGACTACCTCGGGGCAGCTTCAAAACGCTAATTCCCTAGTTCTCAACCGCTAGCGGGAATTTGATAATATCGGAACCAGACAACATTGCTAGACCATACTCGTCGAGAAAAAACATTTTTTGCGCCTTTCAGAGACGCATAGCTGTATGGCAAGGAGCTGTTCAGGTGTTTCGGAAATGTTTCTGGTATCAATTTCTTCTAATTGGCACTCATCATTTCCAACAATAGCCATATGATTAAAGGTTGCATGAAATTGAAATGTTATTTTAAAATTCAACTTTTTTCAACGTATCAATCGCTCGAAATGTGTTTTTTTCATGTTCTGGTTCCCACGAATAGGGATACTCTGTAATGTTCAGGGAACATCGTGAGAACCAAGGGAAATAAGGTAGAAATTGGTGTTCTTCTTAAATTTTTGGAGGTTATATGCTTCGGGAAATACCTCCCTTGGCAATGTGTTGCAGAGCCTCGCTGTTCGTTGGATGTACGAGTCTTTGGAAAGAGATATTCTGCAGGTCTCCAAAGTGACCACGAAGGGGTGCGAAGCCTCAACTCGCCGGGTTAATCTCGCGGGGACTGCCAAGGGAGGAACAATTGTTGATATTTCAGAAGAGCATCGTCCATGAAAATATCTATAAGATAGAGCCAGATCGCTAACTTTTCTACGGTGTTCCAGAGAAGTGAGTGAGTTTGTGAGCGAGGCATCACCAACGAGACGAATTGCCCTTTTTTGAACAGAATCCAACAGTTTCAGGGTATGTTTGGGTTCTGCATTCCAAATATGGGAACAGCATTCCAGGACAGTTAGGATCCGTGCCTTATAGATCATAAGCAGCTGCCTGGAAGTGAAATAGCTGCTGGCCCGAAAGGGAAAACCAAGTTTTTGGGATGCACTTCTAGCAATTGATCTCACGTGATTTTCCCAAGAAAGATTATTGCTGATAGTAATACCAAGCATCGAAATGGATGTATTCAAAGGTATGGTTACTCCTGACAGGCTTATGTTGGGCACAGTGAGATCGGCTTTTCTAGAGAACAGGCATGCTTGTGTTTTGTTTGCATTGAAATCTACCATTTCTTCCTAGTTCGTTTCTGATTTGCCTGGCTGGTATTGGAGCCGTAGAAGAGAAGGCGGTATGGAGGGTACTATCATCCGCGAAGCTGCGTACTGGACATGAAGTTGCTTCCAACAAATCGTTGATATGGAGTAGAAATAGTGTTTGTGCTAGAATTGATCCTTGCGAACACCAGCATTTAGGATAAGAGAGTCAGATGAACCTCCGTCGACCACTACATGGAGAGACCGGTTTGAGAGAAAAATAGCTAGCAGAGAACATAGCTGGGTAGGGTCTTTTTGCCTTTTTTAGGAACTATATAGTTGAACTCTTGCAATTTTTTAGTTGGGTAGGAATATCCCCAATTTGTAAGAGTAGTTGAACAACTTGCAGGGAACAGGTGTTAGTTCAGGAGCACATATCTTGTGAACAATCGGTGGGATTCCGTCGGTGCCACAAGCTTTGTTGGTGTTGAGACCCAATAAAATCTTCCTTATAGTACCTACGTTGGCGAAAGGTGATCTCTAGAACCGAAAGTCATAATCACTTTCAAAATTATTCTTCAGTTAAGAATTTCCGATTTCATGTTTTCAGTGATGAGCAGTTCATTTGAATCCAGTAGGAATCTTGAGAAAGATTCATTGGGGTTCTCCAAGAGAGAAAAAACATCTCACTTATATTTATTTAATATCACACTCTCATGACTTAATGAATATGAATCAGTCTGTTACGCTGAAGCTAACAATTTAATTTTGTTTATGATGATGATCTGATTTCAGAAACAAATTGTCTCACACATATCAAATTACCTACATAGCTAATTACTTCACTGTACTATTAAACAATATAGTATATATAAAGACAGATAACGTTTTTCCCATAATCATCACACTGTTCACACTAATTCCTTGACCTCAACATTCAGTTCACTGAAACACAGCACATTATTACATGAAATTGAATAAATCATAGAATGGAAACACTTGAACGATGATAAATAAATCATCAGAACAACAATAAACTACGGTCAAAGTAGCCGATGCCTTGATGGCATTTTTATGTAAAGATAAATAATAATCATTATAGTCGATACTGATATGGTTGTTTGGTAAATATTTGATTTAATGAATGATTAGTTGACTTCATTCAAGAATTTTCAATAATAATAGACACGTAAAACGCCACTCGTTTTGGGACATCAAGAATGCTGATGGAAGAACAGAAAAAATTGTAGGAGATAGTTTGCTGATTCAATGTAATTGCATCATGGATAACTGAGTAATGGTCAGTTAATTATGTTATTTCAGCTTCTCGAATATTTTCTCTACAAGGAATCAATCATTGTATATGGAAATACAAAAAATGTCATTTTACATAAATTTTCAATCACTCCTACTGATTTGACAACAATGTACGTCACTCATTTCATTATTGTTTCTGTCTGGCTTGTCATCATTTTGAATAGTTCCGTTGTCCCTGTCAGTCATCATTTCCATTTCATTCCAATTGTACTATGTCAATTTACCAATTTTTGATGTTCTATGTCTTTTCTTTCCGAAAGTAGAGGAAACAGCACTTCACTATTGTGACATTTTAATATTTTGGATAAATCCAAAAACATCTT